TATTATTTTGAAAATAAGCCATAGAACTATTACTCGGTAACGTGAGATAAAACTGTGTTGCCATATTGAAGACCAACACACAAATGAATACAAGTTATGAGTTTCAAATATATTTATTTCAGATCTTTTACACTCTCTGCTGGTACCCAAGAATTAAACTTGTCAGGGTAACCCAACCATTTTTTACATAATACTCTTTACGTTTATTACGCATGCGTGATCTTATTACTTTTTCTACTCTATAATAGTCACTGTCTGATTTGTTGACTTTCTGAAGTTTCTGCTCGTAAAATGTTCCTTCCAGTTCTTCACCGTCATAATCTGCAATCTTGTAAACAGGCGGTCGTTGAGGCACGCGTTTCGTTACCGTGAACACTTCTTCAGTCCAATTGGGCAAGTATCCTTTCTTAAATGTTCGCTTTGCTTTGCTAATCCGGACTTGGTCCCCAATGTTAAACTTAAACTGGATTGATTTTTTCGACTCCTTCCCGTAGAGTGTTTGCCACACAATATTCTCGTTACTTTTATTCACATCTACCGGTCTCATACCAATACTACAATGTCGAGAATGATTATAAGATTTGACCAGTTTCTGGAGAATGTCAACGTACTTGAGCGTATTGTTCGCTGTAAAGTATTTCCACATTTTCGTCTTGAGCGTACGATTAAACCTTTCAACAATCGATGCCTTGGTTTCGTTGTACGTCGTAAAAAATCGAATGCCATGTTTCTTCAAAAAGGTTTGAAACTGTCTATTGATAAACTCCGTCCCCTTATCAGTGTGAAACATTTTCGGTTTACGGCCTTTCTTGATTATTTTCTCAAAGGCTTTGACAAGATTGTTCCCAGTTTTTGCTTTTATCACTTCAACCCACGCATATTTGCTGAGTACATCAATAACAGTTAAAACGTACTTGTACCCATTATTCTGTTGACTTAATGAATCCATAATGACTAAGTCTGCCTCCCACTCATCATCCATGGCTCCAACTACAACACGGTTACGCCTGAAGCGATATCTGACAGGTTTATGCAATGAATAGGCATCTTGCTTTTGTAACCATTGGCGTATTTTATTCCGCGATATCTCATATTTCCCTTCGTTTTTCACGGCGCGATAAACGGAATCTACGCCACCAAAACTTGCGGGGCTTTCTGGATCGTAGTAGATCTGTCTTAGATATTTCTCCGCCATCGATGTCTGAGGCTTGAATTACAATTTTTCCACCACAGCAAGCAGAAATACAGCGTACTTTTCGAAAAATGTTTCGAAGAGAGATTTGTGGTAAACCTTTACAGCAAGGCATCCTTACTCTTCCGAGGTTTGAACAAAATGAAACATCCAGTAATTATAGACTGATATATAAAGCTATCAGTGTGAGTGTGAGTGAGAGTGTTATTAAAATTGGACGTTTACTTCGTTTATGTTTGGGAATAGTAAAAATTCGACATGCCTCGATGGTTTTTTGTATATTGTGACGAATAGATTCCTCGCTATCATTTTGTACACATACCAAAGCTAAATAGGCAATGATACAACCAAAGTTTGTTACATTGATCTCTCTGTAGATTTGGTCAAGGTTTAGATCACGAACATTTACTGCACGATATAGATCTCGATGGCGGTCGAGAATTGTATTTATATGAAACGATAAAGTTTGCTTATCAATATCAATTTCATTTCGTTCCAACTCATCAAAAATTATATCTATGTTATCCATGATACTCTCACCACAACGATTGAACAACAAATGAGACACACAGTATTTATTTCAGTAAATATATGCGAATTTACATTAATTAACTAGCAACGTATTATTATTACAAGAGGTCTATTTTATCAAGTTCACTTGCTAAACCAAATCTACGAAATTCATCATAGGCCTCCTTAGTGTTAGATTTAGAACTATTGAATGTCTCTCCTGTTTCTTCAATCATGTACTGGTATTGTAGTGGATTACTGAAGAGCACGATGCCCGTGTTGGTTACCCGAGGGCCTTGTTGCTTCCATTCGAAGAAACCACAAGAGTCGTCCTTCGGACAGCAGTAAAACAGACGGTTTTGATTCGGACCATCTTTCTTGACTTTTCGTTCACAGCACACCATTCCATGTTGACATAACGGTCTTGGACCTTCGAACACGTCTCCCCATTGCCAGAACTTGCAGGGATTCTTTCGCTCAGAACATACGAAGAAGGGTCGTCCGTAGTTATCTTTCATTGTGTCTTTGACCACACATAACTTGGCATATTTCTGATGTGTAGGACACACGGGATGTATAGAACCACTTGCACGAAATGCAGCTACAGCTCTCGTATACATATAACAATTTTCGTCTGGGCAAAAGAACTCACAGCTTGGTTTTTCCCCACAAAACCAAAACGTACCATTGTTTGTAGTTGTAGAGGCAGCAGCTTTTCCGTGTAGACACTCCATGACTGATGTAGAACTAATGCAGAACTATGCTTGTTACAAGACGCTTGTCGATTTTATACAGACGCTCGTTAAATCAAACAACCAATCATAGTAAGCCAAGATTAATCCCTCCATTGTATCATAAACGTGGAGGGACGCTAAAAATGCGTGGTCAGCAAATTTTGTCCAATTTCGCCCTGGCAGGCCCGCGTGACGTCATTGTATATAATTATGACGTATGTTAATGATGATGCGCCACCACAATCTATGCTAATGATGATGCGCCGCCCCGCGCCACCACACGCCACCACAAAAATCCGGCCCGATCGGCCCCTATATTACTACTAACATCTAGAAACAGCAGTTAATAACATAGTTCAAACTTCGACATCCTTTATAGTTTAAACACAGATTTCCATGTTCTTGCATCCTCTGCATCAATGCAGGGCTTTCGAGTAATAGTCTCCTAACAATCTCTTAAATTTATTTGTAGTTTAAGAATGTGTTAGGCTCTCTTAAGTCTGCTGGAAGACAGTTTGTTACACATGAGAAATACAAGCTCTGGAAAGTGCTATACAAAGTCCTGCTTTCTGTGGGTGGAAGGATAAAATGTTGGTACCAGATGATCTGGTCATTCTTGTGGGAATTATGGGTTTGGGGACAACATCTTCAGATATGTCCACCATACCATTAACTGAAATGTCTTTGGGCTATCCTTCAACCAACTCTACCAAGATATATAGATCTCATATTAAATCCGTAATGCAATAATACACATTTCCTTTGTCCTTGCACACAAATACGCCATCTTTTATGAATGTCAAACAAGTCATGAACCCAACTGACTCAATATTGTAAAAATTAATTTTGGGTGCCAATCAGCCCAATGAAATAATCTCTTTTTTTCCTGAAATCAGTCCATTCCTCATACTGGCCATTGCATCATTGGGTTTCATCAGCTATATACAAGACACAAATAGATAAATTTCAAGTACAATATTAAAAACATCGACAATAGCGTTTGGTTGCCTGCTGCAATTTTAAATACAAGAATAGAGTTTACTTAATAAAGCTCTAGAACTCAGGCATTGTCTTCAGTGCCATCAGTGATCAGTGATATATTTAATATATTAAACATGTCATTACAAATTGCAGAGAAATTAACTTTCAAAGACTTTTCTCGTAACTAAAAACTAAGCAGTTAGACCTAGTGTAATGGTTCAAACATTAAATGAACATTCCCATGCATAAAATTGTCAAAGACAGTTGATTCGAAAACGCGTGAAATTCATATAATTGAATCGGTTATTAATTGTTCGACACTCACGCCCGTTTTATCCAGTATAAATGCGCGAAATTTCATCCATTACACCTTATTATGATTTAGAAATGTGTGTTCTTTCATCCCCTATAATTTTTATGGCGATTCGATGAAATTTGAGCGTTTTATTGAAGTTTTCTTGGATCGACTCGGTGTTTCGCCATACAATTTACTATTAGCTTGCTGCGGTTTTACTTGCTAGGAAGATGGCGGACCTAACGCATGCGCAGTGGAAAAAAAAGGTGCCATGTCGCACACGAGAGTAGGACTTCTGTATTTGTCCTTATTCTGTGCTCGATATTTACAAGTAATTTAGTGTTTTTAAAAGCTTAAAATATGTAGTTCTTCTCTCGTGGGTGGGAAAAGTTACCTTTATTTGACCGGAATTCTCATCTTTACCTGCGGGCATTTGATTAGTTTTCTCATATTTTTGTCATATTCCCTCCCCCCGCCCCTCCCCCCCCCCTCCCACATGATTTACATTGATAGGTGCATTATCAAGTCATGGATACGTTCATCAAGTTAGGGTTGCAGTCTTGCAGATGTTGAAAGGTCTTCAGAGTTTAAACAGTGATACCGCATAAAACTCAATATGAAAACACTTGGATACTAATCATTTTTGAAATCACAATATTGACAGTATATATGCTTGTAAAATGGAGGTATGTCCAGTATAGGCATCGGATGTCGGATGGTTACGATCCGTAAGTGTGATTACAGATGAATAGGCACTTAAGTATAACATGGCACGGTATGTACCATCTATAATCAGATGGTGACGATCCGTGAGTTTAATACAGATGGATAGGCACTTAAGTATAAAATGTCACGAAATGTACCATCAGTAGTCAGATGGTAACGATCCGTGATTATGAACACTGATGGCTAGGCACTTAAATATAAACTGTTACGATATGTACCATCTGTAGTCAGTTGGTAACGGTCCGTGAGCTTGAATACACATGGTTAGATACTTGGGTTAGTTAGATACATAGGAATGATATTGTTCTCGTAGGACGCTACAGATGGTTAGGATGGTACAAATCGTCAACTGTGTTTCTACAGTTTTTTCATGTTTATTTATACCAAATGTTTGTTTTTACCCATGGGATGAATACATTATATTTGGAAAAAAGTCGACATTTATTAAAATTATAGTTTATGTATAGCCAAGTGAGCTTAAAATTACCTTGAGATTCTTTAAATCACCCTTACAGTTCTGGCAAACAAACCAAAAATGATTACGTATTGGTTCTGACAATTTAGTGATCTTCTCACAGCCTTTGGCTTTAGCTGCTTTTAATTGCATATCAAGAATAACAAGATTTAATTTTATATTTTTGAGAGTTTACAGTATACACTATCAACATTCCACACTGTCACATTCAGAGAACCAAATATGTATTATAGCTTTTCTCTACATATTGCAGCAGGTAATGTGAAGTAATGTACACATATTCTATTACATTTCATTTCATGAAAGTATGTACTGTATAACAGTTGTCTGTAAATTTATATGGTATGTAGTAAGACTATATAGGTAAATTTATAGGTAAGACTATATAGACAGTACATCTACTTTACCTTGGTCAGTTTTTTTGACATTTTGACAGATTTATGCCATATATCAAGTGCATGAAAGAAATAAGAGAACTCATTGGGATATTTCTCTGGCAGTAGGAAAAGTAGATATGACACATAAATATGACTGAAATAGTCACCAACTTTATTAAACAAGTTATTTTCGATTTGTGTCAATGAGACATATTAGCCAGGGTTACCAGGGACGTAGCTAGAGAAGGTGTGTGTGTCTAGTTGGGGGGGGGGGGGAGTTAACACCCCAATGACTAAGCACCACTCCAGCCAAATTGCTGATTATGCACAAAATTACTAATATGCCTGGCAGAAATTAAATTTTCTTATTTCCTAAACAAATTATTATGGGATGAAAAACTATGCTTAGTTCAATATAATTATTGTGGATTTCGTAAGGATTGTCATTGTTTTTTTTTATTATTATAACACATTTTATTTCACTTACCCCCCCCCCCCCCAGGACTTTGCCGTCCTGTTTGCTTTTTATCACCGAGTCTCGCAAATATCATCCAGTTGTTGTACTTTTACATAATCATAAAGGGTTAAAAAATATTTCAACCAAGTTTCATCAAGTTGTGAGACAGTACAGTGTATATTTTACCTTCGATATTGGTTCCTTCGATATTTCGTCAAATTGCCGCCATTTTAATGGCTCGCGGCTTCTCTGTTCGATAAATGCCACTTCTTTGTTTTCAAATGTACTTAGATTACAGTATCCAAGAGTACTTCATTGTAGAATAGTTCCAATCGAAAAATTGACAACATTTGTCCCATTTGGAAGGAAAAACCCTCCCGTATATCATTTAAGTTAAAAATAAAAAACAAATTATTTGAAAGTTACGCGCAATCTTTGCGAAAACTTCTCGTGGACACATGACAGGGGGGTGGATATTTTCACGAAACGTTTGTTCGCTACCACAGAAAAATAACTAAATATATTGAATTTATTGTAATTTATGATTTATGATATAAACAATAAATATTTGCGTAGTTTTGTCATAAATCATAGCCTAACTAGAAAATACATGCATGCAGAAATCCTTGGCTTGCTGACAAAACCATTGTATTTTCCGAACATATGAAAAATTTACAAACGAAAAATCGCTTAAAAATATCACTTTTAATTACAAAATTATCAATTTCCTAACATATATATGTTAGGTATGATATTATACGTAATATAAGCTACAATTTAAGGTAAAATTCAACCACAAACGCTTCGCAAAACGTTTTAAAGTGTTCTTTATAAAACTAAACTGCCTTTTATATTCTTTAATTAAATGGCTTTATCGATAAACTTTGAGTTTGCAATAAAATGATTTCAAATTCTCGCATGCAAATAACTTTGCTTTCTTTTTATTTTAAAAAAATCAATATAATAAAAAGGGAATCAATATTAAAGATACACTAAAATGTTGCCCGATATGCTGTCTTGTTTAGTTGTTTCAAATACGCAAAGGCTGTCTGGTTTTAAAGCAATTATAAAATCAATATTTAAAACAAACTTACCTTCGTTAACGTCGCTCCCTTCTTTTAGCCGATTCTTTCACCATTTCTTTCTTGAAATTTACAAAACCTTACAAAAATTGCGAGCAAAAATGAAATATATTTGCAAGAAATTTATCAATCATCAAATAAAGAAATGTTTGCTATTTCGCTGTCGTCATGCAGTCGTTATAATTCAAACTTTAAATTGGACCAATCACAGTGTTCGCTATTCATGACAGTCCGCCATATTTTTGAGATCAGTGAGAATGACCACCCACGGTTGGTAACCCACGCCCGCGATATTTGATGAACTTTAGACTTTGCTAATGCTTTCGTTTCCCCGGATGTAAATAGCCGGGGGTAATTAGTACCCTCGCACGGCGCTTCGCGCCGTCGGCTCGGGGACAATATATTTAGTCGTTTCTGTGGTGGCGAACGTTTCATGAAAATATCCACCCCCGGTCATGTGGCCACGAGAAGTTTTCGCGAAGATTGCGCGTGACTTTCAAATGATTTGATTTTTATTTTGAACCTAATGGTATACGGGAGGGTTTTTTCTTCCAAATGGGACAATTGGGACTATTCTACAATGAATTACTCTTGGATACTGTAATCTAAATGCATTTGAAAACAGGGATGTGACATTTATCGTACAGAGAAGCGGCGAGCCATTAAAATGGTGGAAATTTGACGGACACAAGTATCGACGGTCACAATATCGAAGGTAAAATATACTGCACTCTCACAACTTGATGAAACTTGGCCGAAATATTCTTTAGCCCTTTATGGTTATGTAAATGTACAACAACTGGATGATATTTGCGAGACTCGGCGATAAAAAGCAAACAAGACGGTAAAATATGGCTGGAATCGTGTTTTCGTGGGGCTTAAGTGAAATAAAATGTGTTATTGAATTGAATTGAATTGAATTTATTACAAAATCTGAATGGCAGCTAAGAGCTGAATTGTACAGAGTTGACATTTAAAATACATGGTAAAACTAATACATATAGTAATATACGGCATATGAAAACTAAAATTTATATTACAATTAAAATGAATCATTATATGATACGATACTAGAAGGAATAAAACTTTTGCTAAATCTTGTAGTCTTACAATTAATTAAAATACTTGCGATAGATGAACCAGGCGGAAATCGTAATCTTAGGATAAATATTAATGCCCAGCATAAAACACGTAAAAGAGCCATAACAAAATTATAATTTAAAATATTTATTTGAAAGCTAACGTTTCGTCTTTAACTTAAGACATCTTCAGAGCAATGACATACAAAGCGGAAAACACAGAAAACTATACCGCCAGATTCTTAATAAGAATTGTCATCCAGCCAAGTTGCAATGTTCGCCGACGATACCAAACTATTCACCTCCGTCAAAAGAGAAGACGACTGTAAACGCCTCCAAAGTGATCTTGACAACCTGCAAACATGGTCATTAGCGTCTGGCCTCCCTTTCAACGAGAAAAAGTGTAAATCACAACGAATCACGAGAAAAACCATGCCAATCACGAACAACTACAAACTTAACACCCTAAACATACAACAAACTGACAGTGAACGAGATCTCGGCGTGTGGGTGGAGAACAAACTTACGTGGAACAAACAAGTTAACGAACAATCGACCAAAGCAAACAAGTTACTTGGATACATCCGAAGATCATCTCTGTATATCCACAACACCTCAGTCCGGCGCACGCTGTATCTGGCCCTTGTAAGACCACACCTAGGGTATGCAACACAAATATGGGCTCCACAGTCAGTTGAACTGTTGAAACAAGTCGAGCGCACACAGAGAAGAGCAACTAGATTTATCCTCGAGTTACCATTTTCCAGTACCATGGACTATACCACCAGGCTCCAGGCTCTATCGCTCCTACCAATCTGTTATTGGCATGAGTACCTTGACATGGTTCTCTTTTACAAGATTACCCACGGACTTGTAGACATAAATGAATCTCTCCTTCCAACAATCCGCACCTCCAGACAAACTAGATCTTCCACCAGTACTTCCACCAAATATGTCATTCCGAAATGCAAGACATCCACCTATCAACAATCCTTCTTTATCCGATCAACTCGGATCTGGAACCTCCTCGCCGATCAACTAAAACTGGACACATGTGGTTTCTCTACATTTAAAACTGTCATTTTTAATTATTACTCTATGTCATTAAGAACTTGTTACAATGTCAACGACCCTCGTTCGTACAAAACCATTTGTCCAAAGTGTAACTCTGTTCGTAGTCTTAGTATTCCAATCTCGTGCTGCATGTGAAAGACGTATTGTTGTTATTTTCATATGCTGTTTGTTGTTAGTTGATTATTGTATTTGTTAAATTTGTAATATTAGTTCTAATGTTAGTTTTACGGGGCCGTAGTACTTGGCTAAGTGCTGTTACGGACTCCCTGCCATTAATTGTAATATAGTTATCTACAAGGCAAAGCTAATAAATTAAATTAAATTAAATTAAATTAAATTAAATTAAGTTATCCAACTCGTCTTTTTGATCGCTGCGTACGAGCATTTTTAGAAAATGTGTCTCAACCCTGTAGTATTTTGAACCACTTTATTATATTACATATAAGAACTGCACATACATAGTTACAAACACTAAGTTTATATACCTTAATTTACATACATGCTAATTAGTTCCGGTCTAATACACTACATCTCCCCCTCAATTTAATATAAATGTCAATATACTATTATATAAATGTCAATATATTAGAAAGTACTAACGATATCAAATGTTCAACAGATTATATGTTCTATAAGATCTAATTGTATGTTGGGGTTTTTTTTGTCTGTTTTTTCTTTTTACAAAATCTACTCTTACTAATTATGGACATTTAACATGCTAATCCATTTAAACTTATAACGTCAATTTAGAATTATTATGAAACGTAATCTTTCATCCAAACTGGCGGTCGCCTCGCACGCAATGGTCGTACATTTGGACTTGGGCTGCTAGGCTGCGGTACTGAACTTGGTACGTCTGATTGATCTTGCTTCGCAGGATCTGCACTAACGGGTTGCGCTGTCGATTCCTCAACTTCATGAAGTATGACTGGCGTTTCTAACGTTTCTCTAGTTTCAACAACTTGTGGCTCCACATACTTCTTCATGTGCGCTATTCCTCGCATCTTATTATCTCCACCAGAATCTTGTATAACAACTGCATTGCCTTCTCTGCGAATCACTCTGTATGGAAGTGGTTCGAAACTTGACGTTAGCTTGTTTTTCCTCGTTTGTTTCAACAACACTCGATCACCCTCACTAATGTTGCTATCTTGGGCCGCGCGTGTCTTATCGGCGTATTCTTTCTGTCGGAGTTTTACACGAGCATCTTTTTCTTTCAAAAGCTGTTTCCGTTCTGTCTCGGTGACACGACTTTCATTAACTTCAAC